CGTCGGAGGAGATGGTACGTGTGGAAATCATAGACAGTGGTGGAAATGCGTGAGAAGGTACGTGCGGAAATGCGTAGGAGGAAATGCGATGTTACCAAGCCGACCAATCACCGATCTTGCGGTCCACGTCGTGGCGACGTGTAGTTACATTTTTGAGGAGGTGCGCGTCAGGCGACGGCGAAGGGTACACGGTATGGGACGTGTCTGTGCGTATGCTACGCCGTACCTACTGCGCGCACCCTACACAGAAGTATAAATTGGCCTTAACGCGCCTAACGCGCCAGACGCTCAATTCGCTCGAACTTGACGCGCGAATGAGGCATATTCGCGTCTTCCGCGCCTCGCTCCACGCCTCATTCGCGCTGCAGGAATTTTTTACGCGCATAACGCGTCTTTGCATTGACTTAATAACATTGAAATCATTCGCGCCTGACGCGCTATTCGCGTCCGGTGTGAATGTACCATAAAACGTCGAGCTGAACTGTGCGGTTCACACTGCATGACTCTCAGTGAAATCAGGAGTGTTCAAGTTGTTTAGCTGTTCACACCACACAACACAACGTGATTGATGCAAGGGGGTAATCCATCAGTCGGAAGCTGAAGCTGTCTCCGGGGGCCGCCATTGTAGCGTACTATCATCTGCTGTTAGCATCCCATTGACTCCCATTCATTTTGGCGTCACTTTGACAGCGAATAACTTTACATCTGAGGTGTCCAAAGACTCCATTTATCGATTATTTATTTCTAAAGAAACACGACAATGTATAAAAGGCTCCATTACTTTGTATGTTACGTTATGGCCACGTAGAAGCCGTTCTTGTAAAAATAGGCTAAAAATTGCGTCATAACCACTCGACTGTCCGTCGCACAGTAGAGAATTACCGTATAGACAGGAAGAGAAGCTCGCACAGCCTTGCAGGCAATCTAAAGTCTAAAGTCTAAAGTCTGTCTAAAGTCAGCCCATGGCATAAATGGAAGCAAAATGACAAAATAAGTAATCAGAATACTTACCAAAATTTGCTCCAGGTCGCGCTTCGCTGTGCACGATAAAAATTTTCTTTGGCACAGCTACTATAAGTCAGTCAGTTTGCTCACGTGACATCTATGTCGTCAAGCTCAGTTTGAGCCTGCGCAGAACGCTTGGCTATCAGGAAGTGAGTGCCCATGTTGAGCTTCAGCTCTCTCCAGTGAAATCAACGGGGTCGCTGTGTCCATTTCTTTTACTGTCTATGGATTGATCCACAACAGGAGGTAGCGCACTACGTGAGTTGACAACGCACTACATAAAGATACAACCACGATCGGATGATAGCAAATCATTTGTGACTCTAATGAGAGCTGTTTCAGTACTATGGTACGGTCTAAATCCTGAAAATAATCAAATAAATAACGAGTTGACAACAACTCTGTCACCCAACGATTCTATCTTGTCTACAACGTTTTGTCACGAAACACCACGCAATAAAACGAACAAGAAAAGACGCGAAAAGCATGTGCGCCAATATTCAGGGAAGAAGAACACAACACATGAATGGATGTCAGACAGAAACTGTACAGTGTTTGAGCGATGATTTGCTCTAAGAAAAAAATGCAAAATAAATACGAAAAAATAAGATTTACCTCAACCCATGCGTTGCTATGTTTGGATGTACTCATGACATCGCTGAGGTTGAGTCGCGCGATGACTCTATCTAGCATGCTAGATATTTTTCTGGGCTCGGCGACACGTCTGCGAAGCGTCTGCCAGCGTCTTCGCTGCGTTGTTGGCTCTTTCATACTAACAGATTGGCAAGCGTTCATCGTCCGCTAATCCCCCGCGATTTGCACACGATGACACCTTGACCTGTTGGCTAGCTCAACGATTTGCAAATCAGGCATAAATCGGGCTTAAAATACTGTAGTGTGAATTTGGGTTTAGAGGGGGGATTATGTGATGATCAGCAGCTGTAGTGCCCTCGTGAGCCTCTAGAGGGCACCCTCTTCCCGTGCTGTGTTTCCCCTTGGACTCTTTATGTTTTATTATGTTCAGCTGTTTTTCATTTCCTGTGATTGAGTTCCTTATTTAAACCTGAGTTTTCCCTGTCCTTTGCGAAGTCTTGTTACTGTAAGCATACATCTCTGAGCATTTTCTCCGTTTGAGTATTCCGTGTTTCCCTGGACGTTTGACCCTTGCCTGTTTCTGAACCTGTGCTGCCTCGACCAGAGCCTGTTTTTCACCATGATTTACTGGATTTCCCCCTTGTTTTACTATTTGCCTCGGTATATGTCTGCTTGTGTTTTAAGTTATAATAAAGTTCTGCACATGGATCCGGCCGTCTCTGTCTGTATGTTACATTATATAACAATTATACTATAAAATAAATTTTACCAAAAATAATAACAGAAAGAGACATTTTTATTATAACAAAACCAAACATGTGCTGTTCACTAATTAACTAAAATTAAACAGGATGCACAGGTTGATCTGTTTTTCCTGAAATCTCACCTTCCTGTCAGTTGCTATGTCATTCACTGATTAAGAATGAGAGAAGGGGGAAAGATAAAATGACTGCCTGTGACATTTTTAGTTACGTACTGCAATCCCCCATTTGGGCAGCAAAACAAAGTGGATCTGAAATTAGAATTGAAGCGCCAGGCATATGTACAGTAAACAATTGTAATAGACTGAAATGCAATTCCTGTCATATATTTGCCCTGCGTGAATAAGTGTGACGTGTGTTTGTTCCTTCAGGGCTTGCTGTAGACATATGCTTTTGCCTGCCTCAAGGGAGTAAATAGATTTATATTAAATAAACAATCTTTTGTCTCCTCAATAATTCGTTTGCATTTAGGCAAACTCTACAAAAAGGCTTGGTTACACATAACAATCCTTAATTATGTGCCTTTACGTATTCAGAACAAATTTTTGGTCAACACTAGACATGGAGAACAATAGCTAATCTGCATGAAAAGTAGCTCAATTGTCACTGCTAATGCCAATAAAATGAAACCGGTTTCTTGGAAGCCATTAACGCAGTTGTGTCACTGGGGCTGAGACACATAGTTTTGTTCTTTGATTCAGATTTCTGGTGTGAATTACTACTCCTTTGAGTTTTTCAAAGCTTTAAAAAGCAGGTATATTTATACTGTGGCATGAATGTGAAAATGATCCCTAACCACATCCAGAGTATTTCACACCTTCTTGATGATCAGCCATGAGATGAAATTGTGCAAGAACTCTATGCTAACGTTCATCTTTGTCTCTCATGACCATTATGCTTCACAGTAAATACTGACAGAAGCTGATCTGTCTGCTGCAGTGTCAGTGATAACTCACTCCAGCTTCTGATACTTCTGTTCCAGAGAGTGATATTTTGGCTTAGCCTACACTGTAAAAAAAGGTTGCTATAGATTTTACAGTAACTTACTGGCAGCTGGATGCCAATAAGTTAATGTAAAAGTGTTTACAGTATCAGTACTGTAATTTAATTTACAGTACGACAATTGTATACTGTATTAATATTTACAGAATGAGTTGTATATTTTTTATTTACAGTACAAGTACCATATTTTAATTTACAGGAATAATTCAGTATATTGTATTCATGAGTGCAACTACCGTATTTTTATTTACAGTATTAGAATTGCTTTCCTATTACATAATTAGATTTTTTTTTTTTTTCAAAAAATCCATTACAGTGTAGGCAATGCAAGTAAGCTAACTCATTAATGTCTCACTTTTCCTGATTCCTTGGCACAGAACTAATTCCAGGACCCTGTCCACACTTGTATTTTGTTCCCGGACTAAACCCCTAAACCTGTAACGTTAAACTGCGAGAGTTCAGTCATGCTTGATTTTTTAGGCCTCATTCATATGTGGAAATAAATCTGATATGAATCAGAAAAGTCCATTTGCATCTGCCGTGCAATGAAACGGACAAAAGCAATTTATCATTTTTTTGTGTTCTGTTTTTGTGATGTTTTAATGTAATTTTGGTTGGACAGGTGGACACAGTCACTGGCTGATTTGTTGTCTAAATAACAAGCATATGACATTTTCCATCTTTCTAGATTTTTTACAGCAGTTTTAAAGCTATTGAGTTGAATGACTGATTTCATCTTGAAATTTATAGACATATTAGTACAAAAATTTACCTCATGAAGTGAGAGAAGTATCCTATATGAAATGTAATTTTTTATTTTATTTGATCTTTTAAGTAACTGTAACTTATATTTTTTTCTAAATAAGTATTTAAAAATATCACACTGTCTGTAAAAATAATCTTAAAAATGTAACTTTGTGATAATAAGTTTTTGTTTTTTTTACTCACATCCCTATACCTTTAAATTGTACAGCAATGAAAAGTAAACATGTTTCTCTTTCTCTGTGAATGTCTCTAAAGAGCATAGTGAATTGAACAATTTTACCATGAAAGCACCTTTTCCTACAATGCATTCCACTGTGAATAGCCTATTTACGAGACATTTCTTCATTGCAACAGGGTACAGACAATATCATTATGTGATGTGCCTGCAAACCAAATGACACAAGGCACAATTTTGTTTCTCTTTCATCTTCTCAAACACAACTCATAGGTACAAATTTAAAAGCAAATATATGTTATGTTCCATTTACTTTTTTCTTTCCTGTTGAAGAAATAATATATTTGGCTGGTTGGAAAAAGACAAGGAATTTAACATTTCCATTTAAGAAAAGTCTGTAAAAACAGACACCATGTACTGTCTTAATGGGATTTTTCACTGGTGTTTTACCATTTTATTATTTTACATTATTATGCATTTTGAATTATACATTAGATTGTGTTGTTTTAGGTTTGAAGGAAATGCCTGTAAACTTAACAACTACTGTCCTGGCAGAATTTTATTTTATTTTTTTTGTATGCAGTGTATGCATTCCTTTTGAAGGCATAGCCTTGACATTGTAGATAAAATGAATTCTTACAACAACACAGTGTTACAGAATAAACTACACTGTGCACCATATACTTATATTTCGTTGAAGCACAGCTGACATCACAGCAGATATACCGAAACAACATTCCAGCTTGTGTTAAAATGGAATTCAATTAAAACCTTTACAAGATCAGTTAAGAATTTTAATCAGAGAAGCATTGTTTTATCACAGTAGGTTAAATGAGATTAACCATGTAGTTGTCACGGTCTTCGTCTGCACCTGTCTTCACTACACTTCCCAGAATCCTCTTGTCTCCACACCTGATCTCACTCCCTCAATCATCCACCTGTTCATCGTCTTCATCATCTGTGTCACCTGTCCCGTTTATTTGTATCTGTATTTAGTTCTCTCTGTTTGTTCAGTACTGGTCGGTCAATGTTGATTGTACGTGGTTGTTTATCCAGTGTTTATGGTTAGTTCAGTGAATGTAGATGGTATTTTCGTGCATCCTGCATGTCCTGTGAGAGTTATTTTGAGTAAACAATATGAATTAGAGCTTTTTCCTCGTCTGCCGCCTTCTGCCAGCACCACACTCGTGACAGTTGTGCTGTTACACATTTGAATGTTGTGCATTCTGAAATTCTATATTTCCTTTAGTTGGGATTTTCACACTGCATTTAATTGGGCTTTAATTGGGGAAAAAATACTATTTCAACTTAAGTTTAATGTCAACTTTAAAATGATGCTGTAAACCATGACCTGAAAAGAGTGTTGCTTATTTGAACTTGAGTGCCGCATTCATTTGAGAACGACGTATTTTACACAAGACGTGAGCACAGCATTTACAGAAACTATCACATGCTGCACCTCAGTTGTGGGTAATGAGTGGAAGAGAGTGTGTGTTCATTCACTTCCCCCACCTACACTTCCTGCCTGTGCTGAGACTTAAACTCATAACCTTCAGGTTAAGTCAGATTCTCTAACATTAGGTAACAACTGCCCACTCAACAGTGACTCTAAGAAGAGACTGTTGTTATTTCATCTGTTTAGGGCAAACTGGATGTATAGTCAGAAGCATACATTGATATGAAAGAGCAAGACAAGCCATCATCTACACAGGTTGCATGCTGTACTTGTCCAGTCAATAATATGGACACTGAAAAATTTACGAAGGTACAGTGTGATTGTGTCAGAATTTTCAGTGTCCTCTCTCAAGTTGAAAACAAGAAAATCAAGAGAGAGCATATTTATATTCTCACTCTTTGCCTTTCCATTACCTTTTTTATGTCTCAGTATCTGGCTCTCCTTATTTAAAATTAGAGAAGCTTGAGTACTAGTCTCACCACAAATTTTATTTTATAGACACATGCAAAGTAAAATTTTGCACTGCCCTGAAGCTGCGTGTTCAGCTGACAAATTGATGGACAGATCTGATACATGTACAGTATTTCAAAGAGCTGGGGTGAGATCTGTGCTCTCATGCTAATCGTGAGTCTCTGCACATGCATTGGAAGCATTGTGATAACAAAGCTGTCACAGACCATCTTGTTCAGTATTGACAAGGTATTTTTGCACATAAAAGCAACCATTTCAGTGAGTACAGCTTTCACAAACATTGGGACGTGTGGACAGGCTTTTAAGGCAGTACAAAAGTAGATGGTTTCTTTTCAGCATCATTTATAAAGACGAAGAACTGCCGAGAGACATTCAGCTTTTAACATTGTATGTCTTATTTACTGATCCTCCAATTATTGATAACCAACAGAGTTGACAACTTAATAACTTTGAATGCATGATCAATCCAAATATATCTCTAACATAGCTCCCATCACACAGGATTTACAGGCAAGTTTACATTTCGTTCCATGTAATGTCCCAGTTTACTGTGCTACAATGGTAGCTTACAAAGAGGAAAGCTGAATCCATTCATGATAATGCATAAATACTGAGAGTGCTGTCAGGAAATGAAGGCATTTCTGAGTTCATTTATAATCACTGTTTTGTTCAAAATATCTATGGATTCTTTCTTTGCATCAACGCAAGTCTGTTCTATTTAATTTAATGTTATAATGCCTCTATGTTTTGCACATCGACTTTCTTTTCTTAACTTTAATGAAAGGAAATGTGATTGAAATATAAATTGCTCCTTAGCCATGTAATTTTGGAAGAAGTGAAAGGATGTGAATTAGGCCAGATTTTCATAGTGCACTGTGCATGTACTTGTGTCTTCATTGACTATTAGACGAAAAGTGGCTCTGATGTTTCACCACCCTTCAGAACAGTCATGGTTTCTTTCTCAAGAGTTCACAATGATGGTGTGGTGTGATGATGGTTTAGTTTTGCTAAAGAGAACACTTGCATTATCTCAGCACTGCTGATTTAACAGACGGTGGCCAACTTGTCTAACCACGAAGACATCAGCAGCCGCCACATATTGACAGATATATGACCAGCAGGTGAAGATGTGAACCCTAGAGACATCACTTGACCTGCAGTTTCTTGATGTGGGTTGGCAATCCCCCTTTCTTCCTAGAACAGCAGTTAGAGCCAGTGCATTCATGGCCTTGCTTTTGTATCGTTTATGTCTTCTGTGAGAGAAGTTGACTTCTTTTGATATTCTTCACACTTTCTACTCCTTGAATCCAAAGGTTCTCATTACCTTTGTTCTTTTTTTAGTTCCTTATCGCTGTCTGGAAAAGAGATTTCTAAACGCATTGTTGTAGTTCTTGTTAAAGGCTGTGTAAATGAGTGGGTTGAAGAAGGAGTTTGAGTAACCCAGCCAGAGAAAGACACTTTTCCAGACAGGGGGGATGTCACATGAACAGAGCGGAATGATGAGCTCAGCAAGGAAAAAGGGAATCCAGCAGAGCACAAATACACCAATCAGGATGCCCACCATCAGTGCTGCTCTCCTTTCTTTCTGCTCTCGCCACGTCTCGCCATCCGTCTGGAAAGATACGGTTGCATGACGAACTGTGAAGGCCATCTGTGGCTGCCCTTCGGCCTCCTTTACCTAGCAGTAAACAAGTAAAAAGATGAAATGTATTAGTAGTGTTAGTCAAGTACACAACAATAAGGTACTTCATTAACACTATTGGTGAGCAGAATGCAGCAACTACATATTTTGTCAAAACTGAGGGAGTGAAATTGAGTCTTTGTGATCTGTCCGGTGCCGGATCTGCACCAAATGCAAATATTCAGAGAAAAAGGAGTGAAAAATTAATATCAAGTTCTAGTAAAATGTAATCACAAAACATTAAATCAGTGTAACTTTGAAAGGCAGTGCAAATTTATTTTGTAACATATTTGTGTCCAGACATCGACCAGAGACGGTCGAGTCCGAGTCGAGACCGAGACCAGTGAGGGTTGATTACCTAATTTACTTTTATTTACTTAGAGAAATCCTTTTTTTTTTTTACTGAATTTACTTGGAGTTAAAAAAATTTGATCAGTTTAGGGTAAAAAGGCCACATAGTAGGTGGTGTTAAAAGTAATTTTATTACAATTTGTCATGCGCAGTTGCGCACTAGAAAATCACCAATCACTGGACGTGTCAATCAATTTAAAGAAATATTTTATTAACATACATTAATAATCATGAAAAATATTTCGAATTGAACTCGAGTGGACTCGGGAATAAGTCTGAGTCCTAAAAAAAAAACTGTTCGAGTACGAGTCAATTCCGAGTCCAAATGCACACGAGTCTATGACAAGACCAAGACCATTAAAATATGGTCTCGAGACCGAGTCCGAGACGAGTCCGAGTCTCGAGTACTACAACACTGCTAGACATCCCAGTTTTCCTACTCTGATCTTTAAGCATTACTTATGTACGGTCTCCATTCACTCTACCTGTTACAGAATATTTAAATTCTTTAACTCAAACTATATCTTTTATATAAAGATGTTATTAGATTAAACAATCCGGGACTATTCCAGATACAGCATCATACATGCATTAAAGGCACAATATGTAAGTTTCACCCGTTAGAGGTAAGTTCAAAACTATGACAAAGGCGTAGCTTGATGACGGCATGAATGAGCGTGGAATCGTGGGAGTTGTTGTCTTCACCTCCACAGATGAATGAAAGCAATCTGATGGGGCTCAGGCAGAAATCATGTTCATGTATGAGTGAAGTTGTATTAATGTTACTGGAGAATGAACAGGGTGTAACGGTACATGTATTCGTATTGAACCATTTCGGTTCGAGGCTTCCGGTTCGGTACGCATACAAATCGAACGATTCCTTGGACCATTTTTCCTGCCGACAAAATTCGCACTGGCACGGCCACCACAACGTTGTGCGACATCAAAAGGCAAGCAGAATGAAAGCGGAACGAAACTGCGCTACTCATTATGTGCTTCACGGATCGTTTATCAGTTCGGACCAGTAAAATCTGTGCAGCGCGAGCCGATCTCGATCAAGCGACACTGTTGCTACACAGTGCTAAGAGATCCAGTAAAGAAAACATTTGAATTCACCACTGAAGTAATAACATCGCTGCGAGATCTAGTGAGAAGCATTCACATTTCTCCGTTATTAACCGTAGATCTCTATTGGTTCGAACAGCGCTGAAGAGGAAACCATAAGTAATACGTTACGTCCACAGACCAGCAACATTCACCATGGATTTAATATAGTAACACTAACTGTAACCAGTTTGGTTGGAATGCTTTGAAGTACTTCACACATCTTTTTCCAGCACTTCAAAACTCAAATATTATATAAATAAATATATATTTATATGTTATTTTTAATGTGATGACCAAAACATTATTTGTTCATCCTTCAAAGATGACTCCCATTTATAAACCTAAAAGAAACGAATTTAAAAACATTTTTCTTTTAACAAATAGGACATTTCTTTGGCATTTATTGTATCTTGTTCTTGTATTTCTTTGGCATGTATCGAAAACGTACCAAACCGTGACTTTAAAACCGAGGTACATACCGAACCGTGATTTTTGTTTACCATTACACCCCTACTGGTGGATAGCAAAATGCTAAAGCTAAATATCTGGTTGAGTTGGGTTCTGTCACGGTTCTGTCACTACATTTCTGGTTATTCTTGGTTTTGTGACAGAGCTGTGACATGCCTGGTCTTGTGTTTATGTTATGGTCTTGATGGTTGTGAGCACATGGCTATCATGTGATTTCTGTGTGCCATGTGCTCTTGTTAATGTTCTAGCCCCTCCCATCTTGTTACCTCGTTATTGGTTTATTTGTCCCACCTGCTTTCCCTCAATTCCCTCCTTGTTTGCCTTCCTATTTAGTCTCCCTGTGTTTGTTGTCTGGTGCTCGTTCGTTGTTAAATGTTACCTGAGTTTTGAGTTGTGTTTGTTCTGTGCCTGCCGTGCCTTGTTCTTGGATTTTGTAATTAGTTCATGAGACCTGGATTTCTTTGTTTTGTTTGTTTGATTTATGTTTTTATTTAATTAAAACATTACTTCTCCTCTGCATTTGAGTCCTCGCTCCATTTCCCACAACCCACACGTAACAGAACGAACGAGCCATGAAGAGGACTCAGCGGAGGAAGAGGTCGAGGGGGTCACCTGTTCTCCCATTGTCATGTCCTTCATATGAACGGATGGTGAGATTTAAGGAGTTGATCTCTCTTCGGCAATCGGAGGCAAATGTGGGGGACTTTGCCCAGAAATTTTCTGCAGCGGCAGAGGGATTAAATCTTGGTGATGCAGCTCTGAAGGATCTTTTTAACCATGCCCTTGATGACCCAATCCCTTTTGAGATTATGAGAGATCTGGGGGAATTTTCGTTTAAAGAGTTCTTAAGACTCTTGGAACGTCTTACAGATCCTCCTGGGTCTGTGAGATGGGAGAACACTTCTTTGATGGTCCAGGAGGTCCCGAGTCCGGTGGTGGTGGTCCCGAGTCCGGTGGTGGTGGTCCCGAGTCCGGTGGTGGTCCCAAGTCCGGTGGTGGTGGTCCCGAGTCCAGTGGTCCCAAATCCGGTGGTGGTGGTCCCGAGTCCGGTGGTCCTGAGTTCGGTGGTGGTGGTCCCGAGTCCGGTGGTGGTCCCAAGTCCGGTGGTGGTCCCGAGTCCGGTGGTCCGGAGACGGAGGAGGAGAAAGGCCGCCTCAACGACTTGTCCGGTGGTGTCTAACACCGAGACCATCCCGGAGGTGACGGCCGCCCTGACGGCGCCGCCCAAGCTGCTCGCCCTGACGGCGCCGCCCAAGCTGCTCACCCTGACTGCGCCGCCCAAGCTGCTCGCCCTGACTGCGCCGCCCAAGCTGCTCGCCCTGACGGCGCCGCCCAAGCTGCTCGCCCTGACGGCGCCGCCCAAGCTGCTCACCCTGACTGCGCCGCCCAAGCTGCTCGCCCTGACTGCGCCGCCCAAGCTGCCCGCCCTGACGGCGCCGCCCAAGCTGCCCGCCCTGACGGCGCCGCCCAAGCTGCCCGCCCTGACGGCGCCGCCCAAGCTGCCCGCCCTGACGGCGCCGCCCAAGCTGCTCGCCCTGACGGCGCCGCCCAAGCTGCTCGCCCTGACGGCGCCGCCCAAGCTGCTCGCCCTGACGGCGCCACCAAGCTGCTCGCCCTGACGGCGCCACCCAAGCTGCTCGCCCTGACGACGCCACCCAAGCTGCTCGCCCTGATGGCGCCATCCATCAAGCCTGAATCTGTTCAGGTCAGGTCTATGGTTCCAGAAACAGTTCACGTCACGTCTGCCCAGACGGAGTTGGTTCATTTCATCGCTGCCCAGCCAGAGACTCTTCAGGTTCCGTCTGCAAAGTTAGAGACTGTTCACGTCCTGTCTGTTTGGCCTGAGATGGTTCCTGTTTCTGAGCTGTTGCCTGTTCCTGGACTAAAGTTTGTTTCTGTCCCTGTGTTTGTTTTTGTGGCTGTGTTTGTTCTGGGGCCCGTTTCAATAAGGAGGTTCAACCAACTCTGAGTTAAAGCTTGAACTCAGAGTTGATTTACCCTGAGATGGGAAACTCTGAGTTTTCGGTTACAGAACAGCTGAAATAAGTTAGTTCAATCAACTCTGAGTTGACTGACTCTGAGTTAAGCGCGTGCACCACAACTATAAAAAGCCATTATCAATGGAGCACAGATATTATGAGTCACCATGGCAACAGCGCCAGACAAAAAGAGGTGTTTGGTGTTATTAATTACCAAGTAATCTAAATATTGTAATTTAATTAAAGGGATTACTCTTAATTCTTCTGTAATTTAAAATAAAATATGATGCAATTACATTAAATAAGCTACTACATAAACCAATTAAGTATAAAACAATAGTTGATTTAACATACATTTTTAATATATTTTTTTATGTAACCTTCTCCCTCTACACACTTTGATCAATTCAAGAATAATTCATGCAATTGTATATTGTGAATTTGAAAGAATTAAAAGTGCAGTTTCTTGTCTCTCCTCTTTGTATTAATCAAGTGGTTGAGGTTGAGATTTAGCAATTAGTAATATGTAGACCAATACTTTCTAGAGATAGTAGCCTGATTATTACATTAATCTAACTACACCGTTGAAGATGTCAGTTAATAATTCATAACTATTTTAGAGTAACTTACTGTTATAATATAGAGGTGAAACTGGAAGAATGTTATTCAACCTAAAGTAAGCTACTATTACTTTGATAAAATTTTACTTTAGTAAAAGTAAAAATACCAGTCTAAAAATCCACTCAAGTAAAAAGTAGTTAATTTAAAACATGAGTAAAAGTTGCTGAGTAACTTGTGGGGGTGGGGTGGGGGACTCCCCCATGTGGGGAGAGTTGAGAAACATCTCAGAAAATATCACGGTTTTATGGTATTAAACAATTATTAAATATATAAACTGCATTCTTAAATTATGGTTATTATTATTATCAGTTAAAATGACAGTTAAATAAATTAAACATTTGTTCAATAAAACATATCAGCTAACTTCAATAATCGATTATGAAAAAGATTAACATCTTATTTTTTATCATTAATAACTTATTAAATTATGTTTGAAAAATAAGTGAGTTCTATTAAATGTTTTTTATTCCA